CAGACATATAAGTAAATCTTTGAAGGTGGCAGGATAGGTAGATTAAGCTGTTAAAAAAACATACGGGATAATAAGAATTAGGAGCAGGAGTAGGCCATTCGGCCCCTCGAGCTTGCCCCGTGATAATAGGCATTAGGCTTCAAGCAACTAGGAAGGCTAATATTAATAATAATAATCCTTGCATTTGATATAGCGCTTTTCACGTCTTCTAGATGTCCCAAAGCGCTTCACAGAATATACTGTAAAGTGAATTGACTGTATATTTGTGGGCGAACGCGGCAGCCAATTGCGCACAGCAATGTCCCACAAACAGTCGTAGATTAAAAATGACCAATTTATTATTGTTTTTGGTTTTGGAGGGATTATTATTAGGCTCTGTGTGGGGTAAGGAAACTTGCCCAAGGTTTTGCCCTCTGCCTGGGATTGAACTCAGGTCTCTCGCTTGCAAAGCGAGTGCTCTAACCACTGAGCCACAGGACTCTACATGCCATGTTGACGTTTATTTCAAAGGGTTAGAGTACAAGTGTAGGGAAGTCTTGCTGCAGTTGTTAAGGCCTTGGTGAGATCGCACCTGGAATATTGTGTGCAGTTTTGGTCTCCTTATTTAAGAAAGGACATAGTCGCCTTAGAGGGGGTGCAGCGTAGATTCACTAGGTTGGTTCCTGGGATGAGGGGTTTGACCTATGAGGACAGGTTGAGTAAACTACACCACCAACAAAATGACATTTATAGAGCGCCTTTCATGTTGGACGTCTCAAAGCGCTGAACAGTCAGGTGTTGGGGCCCGAGCATGGGGGAGGGGAGGGTTGGTGTAGGGTTGAGGGAAGGCAGAGAGGTGGGAGGGCGACCAAGGGCACGGTCGAAGAGAAGGGTCTTGAAACCGACCTTGAAGGCGACAACGGAGGAAGCGAGGCGAAGGGACCATGGGATGGAATTCCAGAGTGTAGGGGCAGAGAGGCTGAAAGCCCGGCCACCAATGGTAGCGCGGGAGACATGGAGCAGGCTGAACGGAGGGAGTGGGCAGGTTGGCAGGTAGTCAGCAGGTCAGAGAGGTAGGAGGGGGCAAGGCCGTGGATGGCCTTGAAAGTGAGGACGAGGATCTTGAACTCAATCCTCTGGGGGATGGGGAGCCAGTGGAGTCGGGCGAGGGTGGGAATGATGGGGTCACGGAGCCTGGTGCACGAGAGTACACGAGCTGCAGAGTTCTGGATGATCTGCAGCTTGTCAAGGGAAGAGTTGGGAAGGCCGATGAGGAGGGAGTTTCCATAATCGAGCCTTGATGTGACAAATGCGTGGGTGAGGGTTTCGGCAGCCTGAGGGTGAGGCAGTGGCGGAGTCTGGCAATGTTGCGGAGGTGGCGGTAGGCAGTGCCGGTCATGGCGTGGATGTGGGGGAGAAAGGACAGTTTAGGGTCAAACAAAACACAGGTTCCTGACTGGCTTAGTGAGGTTGAGTGTGCAGCCGTGAAGGCTGATGCTGCCAGCGCCCGAGGTGCGGAGGCGCTGGCGTGAGCCAATCAGGAGGGCCTCGGTCTTGCTGGCATTGAGTTGGAGAAAGTTGTCCCTCGTCCAGGACTTGATGTGGGACAGACAGTCAGTCAGGACACCAGTAGTTCTGGAGTTGAGGGTGGAGGCAGAGAGATAGAGTTGGGTGTCATTTGCGTACATGTGGAAATTTACCCCATGTCTGCGGATGATGTCTCCAAGGGGGAGCATGTTGAGGGTGAAGAGGAGGGGACCGAGGACAGAGCCCTGAGGAACACCGCATGAGACAGTGTGGGGACTGGAGGAGAAGCCGTTTGCTGCGACGAAGTGGAGGCATTGTGAAAGGTAGGACCTGAACCAGTCAAGGACAGAACCTTGAAGGTTGAGGTGGGAGGAGAGGTGGTGGAGGAGGATTGAGTGGTCCACGCTATGGGCAGCACGGAAACCTGATTAGAGGGACTTATGGATAGAGTGGGAGGAGAGGAAAGAGCAAAGATGGGAGGCAACGGCTCTCTCAAGTACCTTGGATAGGAAAGGGAGGTTTTGAGATGGGCCAGTAGCTGGATAGCCTTGATGAGTCAAGGAAAGGTTTCTTCAGGGTGGGGGTGATGATGGCTTTTTTTGAGGGGGGGAAGGAACAGTGCCAGATGACAGGGAGAGGTTGATGGTGTCGGTGAATAGTGGGGCAAGGAGGTGGAGCTGCGATTTAAAGAAAGGAGTGGGGATGGGGTCCAGGGAACAGGTGGTGGACTTCATAGAGGATATGGTGGTGAAGACAGAGGAGGGGGTGACAGGTTCAAAGGTGTGGAAGGAGAGATGGGTAATTGTCGGAGTGTGGGGTGGGGTGGGGTTAGGGAGGGGGTGGGCGTTGTGGGGGCAGTGGCAGCTGAGCAGATTCCCTCGATTTTGGACTCGAGGAAGTCCAGCATTTTCTTGGGGTGAGAGTCAGAAGAAAGAATCTGCAAGGCGTGGCTGGGAGGGCGGAGGAGCCAGTTGGTGGTGGAGAACAGGAGCCTGGGGTTGCCCTTCGCCTCCAGGATTAACCTGGAATAGAAGGATGATTTGGCCGAGGCGAGAGCGGGCGGTAGGTTTTGATGAGGTCTAGCCAGATGTGGCGTTGGACTGTTAGGCCGGATTTAAGCCAAGTGCGTTCGGCAGCCTCACCTGGCCCTTAAGCGAGCGTAGGTGGCTGGTGAACCAGGGTGAGGATCGGGATAGGAGGCAGTTCGGGAGGTGAGGGGGGCAAGGACGTCGAGTGTGGTGGAGAGGGTGCTGTGGAGAAGAGTAAGTGCAGCGAGTGGATTGGTGCAAGAGGTGGGCCAGAGGGGGAGGAGTTCAGAGGACTCCAGGGTAGCGGAGAGAGACTGCGGGGAGATCTTCCACGGGCGGTAGAAGATGGTGGTAGGTTTGGAAGCCGTGGGGAGAGGGATATGGGAGTTGAGGGAGATGAATTGGTGGTCAGAGATCACTTTGTCAGTGATGGTGACATCCAAGACACTGAGGCCCCGGGTGATCACCAGGTTGAGCGGGTGACCGTGGGTGTGGATAGCAGAGTGGATGTGGAGGGAGAGGTTGAGAGAGGAGAGGAGAGAGGAGAAGTCTGAGGAGATGGAGCAGGAGAGGGAAGTGGAGGTTGAAGTTGCCTAGGATGATGAGGCGGTCGAAGCAGAGGGAGGAGGGTGGAGATGTCAGAGATGAAGGTGGGTGAGGATTTTGGGGGGCGATAGCCAGTGGAGTAGGGGGATGGGGCAAGTGACACCCTGGATATGAGGGCCACCCCGCCACCATGGCGGCTGGGGCGTGAGGCATGGTGGTGGGTGTAGCCGGGTGGTGTGGCCTCAGTGAGGGGGAAGGTGACACCTGGGGTGATCCAGGTTTCAGTGAGGGCCAAGATGTCAATGTTCTCATCGAGATGAGTTCATTGATGCCCAAGATCTTGTTGGAGATGGAGCGGACGTTTTGAAGGCCAATGCGGAGTGGACAGTTGGCAGGGGGATGTGTGGGATGGGAGGGGGTAGTGGATTGGTTGGCGGGGGGTTGGGGATGCGGATGAGGGAGGAGAGTGTTGGGAAATTCAAATCCCAGGGTTCGGAACAAGGACTCCACAATAACCAAATATGGTGTGGTAAAGTTCTTGCTTTTAATTCACAATGATTAAATTATAAAAGTACATAAATGAGACTTAATAGGTAAGAGTACAACAGGTAATTGATAATTAGATTATAGAAGGTTGATGATTACCTTAAACACGAGTAGTTGAGTAATATACATGTTCAAATATTCACAGTTTTATATATATATATATGCAGGCATGCAAAGGTTAATTTATCATAAGTAACAAAGTTATACTACAAGTTTAACTTTTTTTCAGTAGCAGGATGTCTCTCTCTCTTGACTTTGTCTAGTCCTTCTGGATCTTGAGCAGACTGAAGAATACTCACTGTCTAATGTTTCTTATGACATCCAGCTGGTCTTCAATCCTCTACTACTATTCTCTCTTTCTCATACACCTTTATAGGGTATCTGGGGTGGTTTTTTTCCAAATTCTGCATGTGCTTCCTGATTACTGCCCTGACTTTGGTCTGACCGGACAAGATAACTGATGTTCTTCTAAAACATCTCCTTCTTTCAATTATCTCCCTGAGTCCTGTTTATGCAGTAGGCCCATAAGGTCAGCTTCAACCTTGATGTATCAAGGATTCATCTGTCTCCTAATTTCTACTCCACCAGCTTGCTTCTTTCTTTCTTACTCATTAACTCATACTAATTGGTCTAGTTATGATGAACAACCTCCTGACTATGACATCTATCCTGGACCTCGTTTTCTTCTGTTTTCCCTCCTTTTGCCAACATACGTACGTTTTGAGTACAGTCTGTTACTCCAGCAAGTGGTTCTCTATTTCTTCTAATTGCTCTCTTGAGATTCTGTCTGATTCATTTCTGACAACTTCCAACATGCACCATCTGAGAGTACTATATTGGTACTTCCTTCAACATTCTGCTGATTCTCCACAATCAACAATTGAACATATGGGTTAACATGAAAGAGAAAAATCTGTTTTACCATAACTCTAAAGTACATTTTATGTTGATAACATTTTCATACATTTTATATGGATACTGTCTTCTCCCAACAAGAGGGTCTGGGTCTGGGGTGGCTTGTGGGGGTAGGGGAACTGGGCAGTCGGTGTGGCTGCTGCTGGACAGCCAACTCCGATGAGCCCGCGGAGGATTCCCAGGCTGGAGCAGTGGGAGGCGGTGGAGGGGGGTCAAGCAGAGATAGGAGGCGAGGAGGGCGGAGAGAGAGCAGGACAGAGCAGGAGAGTTGCAGGGAGGGAGGTATTTTTAGGGAGGGCCAGCTCGGGTCGGGGGCGGCAGCCAAGGTGCGCATACTGGGACGAGAGGCAGCGGGTTTAGTGGCACATTGTCAGCCTGCAGGAGGCTGGGGGGGCTAGAGGTGGCACAGAAGGGGGTGGGCCTCATTGTGGTTAGCAATGAGCAGCCGGCAGGGGAAGGACAGGGGAAACAGACAGACAGAGGATGGGAGGGAGGGAGGGAGGGAGGCACACAGGCCTATATTCTAGAACATAGAAGAATTAGAGGTGACCTTATAGAAACCTATAAGATTCTTAAGGGTCTTGTCAGGGCAGATGCCGTGAGACCGTTTCCCCTGGTTGGAGAATTTAAAACTAGAGGTCATTGTCTCAAGATTAAGGGTCAGCCTTTTCGAACTGAGTTGAGGAAACCTTTTTTTTCACTCAGAGAGTAGTGAATTTGTGGAATTCTCTACCCCAGAAGGCTGTGGATGCTCAGTCCTTGAACATATTCAAGACTGAGGTTGATAGATTTCTAAAGGATACAACAACAAGATTCCATTTATAAAGTGCCTTTCACGTCAGGAGGACGTCCCAAGGCGCTGCACAGTTGGGTCATGACCCGAGCATTGGAGGGAAATGGTCAGGGTGAGGGGAGGGAAGGGAGGGAGCGAGGAGGGGGGAAATGGTCAGGGTGAGGGGAGGGATGGGAGGAGCGAGGAGGGGAAGAGAGTCGAGAGGGGAGCTGAAGGCTCGGTCAAAGAGAAAGGTTTTGAGACTGGCCTTGAAGGAGGAAAGGGAGGAAGCGGCGAAGGCGCTGGGGGATAGAGTTCCAGAGCCTCGGGGCTGAGAGGCTGAAGGCCCGACCACCGATGGTAGGGCGGTTGGGGCGGGGGATGTGGAGCAGACCGGAGCCAGAGGAACGGAGGGTACGGGCAGGTAGGTAGGGGGATAGTAGGTTGGAGAGGTAGGAGGGAGCAAGGCCGTGAATGGCCTTGTAGGTGAGGATGAGGATCTTGAAATCAATCCTCTGGGGGATGGGGAGCCAGTGGGGGCGAGCGAGGGCGAGAGCGAGGGCGAGGGTGGAGTGCAGTTTCAGACCCTCGACTTCACCGGCTCGTGCTGAACGACTACATCTGTGGAGGGAGGAATCATTTTCAGTGTCAAACACAGCAGCCTTGAAGCTCGCAGGCTCTGGCAGCCCACAGTCCACACTGGATTTTGTCACAAATGATAACTTGTTCGGATAACTTGCCCTTGCTCGGACTAGGAAATGAGTAATTATGTCCTTGAGCACAGATGTGAAAACAAGGAGACTCAGAGAGTGAAGTGCACTCCTGGACATCTGATTAGCTCAAGATTAAGAATCGGGAATCCTCCCAATTAGCTGTCCATATCTCCTTCTCCTTATCAGATAATATTTTCCCATGCAAAGAGAAACAGCTCAAAGATCACTAGCAGCCTGTGAAGAGGGGGCTGTCTCTATGACAAGGGGGGGCAGAGTTAGAAACACATAAAAGATGTAACTTTAAAATAGTTGGAGTTGTCGTAGAGGGTCAGCACACTTCCCAGTGGATTCGATATCGATTCTACTGTATCTATGGTCTCAGTCTTAAGAGTAAGTTAAGGGTTTGTATTACTTAATAAACCTTGGATTATTACACAACCGTATTAGTCATTTCCATCCAAATCTCTTACAAGAGCGAAAGAAAAGTAACTGACCGAATGTTACCAATTACAAGCCTCAGTGACAGGGAGCATGGCTCTAGACCAGGATGGTCCAACCTTTATGGTCAGCAAACAAAATACATTTTCTTGACTGAATATTTCTTGATTTAGGCCTTAAAACAAAAAGTATTCAATCAAGAAAAAACAGAAAACACATTCCGTTCAAATGCAGAGTTACTTGGACTAGTGTGAATGTTCAGATTGGCCACCGCTGGTGTAGACCCTATAATCTACTATCTATTGTAGGGTGTGTGGGTGGGGTGGGGTGTGGGGGGAGGTGGGGGTATACTGGTGAACAGGAAAGATGAGGAATACATTTTTTGAATATTTACTGTTTGAGACTCTTGGAAAGCTCCTTGAATTTCTTCTTCTGTCGCTCAATGGAACACAAGCAGCTATTTTGCAGTTTGATCATTTCCTCCAGTTGTTGTTTGTAGAGTTTGTGCATATCCTAAACATCAAAAACAGAGGGAATCCAAGATTCTCAGTCTTCGCAGCTACGGGACTCTTAGGCTGTGTAGTACAGCTCACCTTCACTCTGCTCTGAGATGATCGAATAATAATAATCCTTGCATTTGATATAGTGCTTATCACGTCTTCTCGACATCTCAAAGCGCTTCACAGAATATACTGTAAAGTGAATTGACTGTAACTTTGTGGGTGAAACACGGCAGCCAATTGCGCACAGCAGCGTCCCCACAAATAGTCAACGACCAAATTATTATTGTTTTTTTCTTGAGGGATTATTATCAGGCGTGTGTGTGGAGTAAGGAAACTCGCCCAAGGTTTCACCCTGACCTGCCGGGAATCAAACCAGGTGCCTCGCTTGCAAAGTGAGTGCTCTGACCACTGAGCTTCAGGGCTCCACGATCCAATGGATCATAAAAGAGAGATTCTGTTGCGGTGACTTTTCCAGATGAGATAAAAACTTGTATTCTCACGGTTTTATCTTTAGGACAACACTTAGTTTAGATTGTCAGATATTCAACAGAATCACAATTTAAATTAATAAAAAAACGTTGTGATGTCCACACAGATTCGCAGAAACGGGTTTGAACTCTGATTCTGTGTTTATTTATCTGATGAAGGTTCGAGGTTCTCCAGAAACAAACGCTTAATGCATCTCAACCGTGTGTTTGTTCGGTTAGTGAAGCAGTAAATGAAACTGTATACAGTAAAACTCTGCCACATTTCCACACTTGCTCTCTGTGCAGAGTTAAGGACAGTGCCCTTTTAAATCATTGTAATGTCTCCTAAATAACCTTTTCTGATTAAGGTGACAAGAGTTTTCGTTCTTAATTTGTCAGATTACACAGTGACTGTCACTACGTTCCTGAACTCCACAAATCTGACAACAGGTTTTTACAGACAGAAGAGCTGATGGACTCTGAGCCCTGGAATCTGTGAACTTGGCTGTGACTGTGACTGAGGCAGTGACTGTGACTGTGACTGAGGCAGTGACTGTGACTGTGACTGAGGCTGTGACTGAGGCAGTGGCTGTGGCTGTGACTGAGGCAGTGGTTGAGGCAGTGACTGAGGCAGTGACTGTGACTGAGGCAGTGACTGAGGCAGTGGTTGAGGCAGTGACTGAGGCAGTGACTGTGACTGAGGCAGTGACTGAGGCAGTGGCTGTGGTTGAGGCAGTGGCTGTGGTTGAGGCAGTGACTGTGACTGAGGCAGTGTCAGTGACTGAGGCAGTGGCTGTGACTGAGGCAGTGACTGAGGCTGTGGCTGTGGTTGAGGCAGTGGCTATGGCTGAGGCAGTGACTGAGGCAGTGGCTGTGGTTGAGGCAGTGGTTGTGACTGAGGCAGTGGCTGTGGTTGAGGCAGTGGCTGTGGTTGAGGCAGTGGCTGTGGCTGAGGCAGTGGCTGAGGCTGTGGCTGTGGTTGAGGCTGTGGCTGTGGTTGTGGCAGTGTTTGAGGCAGTGACTGTGGCTGTGGCTGTGGTTGAGGCAGTGGCAGTGGTTGAGGCAGTGGTTGTGGCTGAGGCAGTGGTTGCGGACAGTCTCGGGGGGTACCTGGATTTGCTGATAATCTGCAGTCAGTTGTTCCCAGTCTGAGCGCCATTGCTCACCGCCCCGCGCCATAGCGTCCTCTACCCCCGGCCCGGCCCCGCCCCCTCACCGCCCCGCCCCCCGGCCCGGCCCCCCCCGGCCCCGCCCCCTCACCGCCCCGCCCCCCGGCCCCGCCCCCCGGCCCCGCCCCTCACCGCCCCGCCCCCGGCCCGGCCCCGCCCCCTCACCGCCCCGCCCCCCGGCCCCGCCCCGGCCCCGCCCCTCACAGCCCCGCCCCCCGGCCCGGCCCCGCCCCTCACCGCCCCGCCCCGGCCCCGCCCCCTCACCGCCCCGCCCCCTCACAGCCCCGCTCCCGGCCCCGCCCCCTCACCGCCCCGCCCCCGGCCCTCGCACAGCCCCGCCCCCGGCCCAGCCCCGCCCCCGCACGGCCCCGCCCGCACACGGCCCCGCCCCGCACAGCCCCGCCCCCGGCCCAGCCCCGCCCCCGCACGGCCCCGCCCGCACACGGCCCCGCCCCTCGACCCCGCACAGCCCCGCCCCCGGCCCCGCCCCCCGGCACAGTCACGGCCGCACTGTGATCAACCGCTCCCCCTCTCGGTTCCCACCAGCACTGCATTCCAGATCCCAACAACTCGCTGTGTGAAGACATTTCTCCTCCCCTCCCCTCTGTTTCTTTCAACAACTATTTTAAATCTGTGCCCTCGGGTTACCGACCCACCCGCCAGTGGGAATAGTTTCTCCTGTTCACCCGATCGAATCCCCTCATCATTTTGAAAACTTCTATTAAGTCTCCTCTTAACCTTCTCTGCTCCAAGGAGAATAATCCGAGCTTCTCTACCTCTCCTGATCACTGAAGTCCCTCATTCCTGGTACCATTCTGGTCAATCTCCTTCACACCCTCTCCAATGCCTTGACATCCTTCCTAAAGTGTGGGGCCCAGAACTGCACACAGTCTCTCGCTGAGGCCTAACCAGTGTTTTATATAAAGGTTCATCATAACTTCCTGACTTGTGTATTCTATGCCCCTATTTATAAAGCCTCGTATCCCGGACGCTTTTGTAACAGCTTTATCTTCCTGTCCGGCCTCCTTCAAGGATTTACTATATGAACCCTCAGGTCTCTCTGTCCCTTCACCCCCTTTAAGATTGTACCATCAGCTTATATTGCCTCTCCTCATTCTTCCTCCCAAAATCATCACTTCACATTTCTCCACATTAAACTCCATCTGCCACGTGTCTGCCCATTTGACCAGTCTGTCTATGTCCCCTTGCTGTCTGCTCCTATCCTCCTCACTGGTTACTCCTTTTCCTTGCGTAGTATCATCTGCAAACTTGGAAATTGTCCTCCCTATACCCAAGTCCAGGTCATTTATATAGATCACAAACAGCAATGGCCCCAATACCGACCCCTGGGGGACACCACTGCACACTTCCCTCCAGTCAGAACAACAACCGTTCACCACCACTCTCTGCTTTCTGTCTCCCAGACAGTCCTGTATCCGCTGTCCCTGTCCCTTTAATACCGGGGGCTTCTATTTTGCTTACAAGTCTCTTATCAAACTTTATCAAACCCCTTTTGAAAATCCATATAAACCATAAACTGCACTAACTTCATCCACCCTCTCCGTTACTTCAACATAAAACTACCATATTTGTTACATGATTTGCTCTTAACAAATCCATGTTGGCTGTCCTTTATTAACACATATGAAGTGAACATTTATTTTGTCCCGGATTATAGTCTCTAGAAGTTTCCCCACTACTGACGTTAGGCTGACTGGCCTGTAGCTCCCGGGTTTATCCTTCTGCCCCTTTTTGTAAAGGGGAATAACATTTGCAGCCCTCCAGTCCTCTGGCACCACCCGGTGTCCAAGGAGGATTGACAGATTGTGGCCGGAACCTCCGTTATTTCCACCCTTACTTCCCTCAGTAACCTAGGATCCATCCTGTCCAGACCGGGTGACTTATCTACCTTGAGCACCATCAACCTTTTTAGTACCTCCTCTCAGTTTATTCTTATCCAATTTCTCTCCCCTCTCCTCCAATACTGTGGCATTGACTTCATTCTCTTCTTTTGTGAAGACAGATGCAAAGTACTCATTCCTACGCCAGCCATACCCTCTGCCTCCACAAGAAGATTTCCCCTTTGGTCCCTAATTGGACCCACTCTACCTTTGACTAACCTTTTATTCTTTATATGCTTACAAAATACCTTAGGGTTCCCTTTTATGTTACCCGCTAATCTTTTCTCTCTACAATCTCTTTGCCTCTTATTTCCTTATTCACTTCTCTTCTGTGCTTTCTATCTTCTATTTGATTATCTTCTGTATTTTAAACCTGACATTTATCATAAGCCTCCTTTTTCTGTTTTATTTTAAACCCAATTTCCTCATTCATCCAGGGAGGTTTGGATCCCTTTTTTGGAAATATATTTATTCTGTCCCCAAGCTATCTCATCCTTGAAGACTTCCCACTGCTCTTTAGCTGTTTTACCTGCCAATCTTTCTTTCCAGTCCACCTTGGCTAGGTCCCTTTTTAACTCACTGAAATTAGCCCTAACATGTTGTTAATGTGTCTGGCTGCTGTGTTTCAGGGTATTTACTGATCAGTGCTTAGGGTATTTAGTAATGAGCACCAGGTATCCAGTAATGTGTCTCTAATCTCCTGGGATGCTGTGCAGCACTCCTAGATGTTATCCTGCGTAAACAGGATATGAATTCAAATTGGAAACACATAGTCCAAGCTTTTGCTTTTATGCAGTGCTGAGGTCTACATTGTAGATGAGACATTAAAACGTAAGTCGTCGGCCTGTTCAGGTGGACGTTAAGGATCCCATGTCACTATTCAAAAAGTCAAGGAAGTGTACCTGGTGTCCTGGCCAACAATCCCCCAAAATAAAATTGGTCACTCACACCATGGCAGATTGTGGGACATTGCTGTTCACAATTGTGCTGTTACAGTTGACTATCATATACAGTCACTTTATTTAACAGTAAATTCCCATGACGCCCTTTGATATGTCCTTCCAACATGATGCAAGACTTATTATTTATTGATGGTCAGTCATCACAACTCTCCTAACGTGAAAGGCACCTCACAAATGTAATGTTGTTGTTGCCACTCGCTGGTTAGTCAGTGTGAGGTTACACTAAATCCTGTGAAGAGGTTTGAGAAGACATGTAATGATTATTTCACACTCTTTTTGCCTCACAAAAAAAGATTAACCTCTCGCCAGTCACTCAAACACATAGACACATCGCAACGATCAGCCCTCTCACAGCTCTCTCCAGCCCTGGGGATAGAGTGGGGACCACCAACTCCCTCTGTGTTTGTGAGCGGCTCAATAACTGGGAGCTGCAGCCTGGGACCATCCGCACTCTCTGCACAAAATGTCTACCAAGTTTGCCTAAAATATAGTTGCTGCACTTGACAGCAATCCCTTGTGAGACATCTGGAGATTCTGGATGCTGTGAATTATTATTAATAATTAAATATCAGAAATAACATTGCTCAGGATTGGTGTTGTGTCACTGACCTCTCCTGGTGTGAACATGCAGATGAAACCCAGCGCTCAGTATAAAAACTCCCAACAACTTGCACTTACTCAGCACCCTTCATTCAGGATAGATGTATGCGGATGACACCCAACTCTATCCTTCTGCCTCTCCCCTCGCTTCCAGGAAAACATATCCTGACATTGAGTCCCGGACGTCAGCAAGACCGAAGCCCTCCTTTTCAGCTCGCAACAGAGCCCCCGCACCTCAGGAGCTGACAGCATCACCATCCACGGATGCACATTCCACCTCCAGTCTAGAACCCTGGTGTCTTATTCAACCCTCAACTGTCCTTTCTCCCCCATGTTGTGGAATCCTGTAGCTCAGTGGTTAGAGCACTCGCCTGGCAAGCGAGACACCTGGGTTCAATTCCAGGCAGGGCAAAACTTTGAGCAAATTTCCTTACTCCACACACCTGAATAGTCCCTTGAGAAAAAAACAATAATAAATTGGTCATTTTCAATCCACGGCTGTTTGTGGGACGCTGCTGTTCGCAATTGGCTGCTGCGTTTCACCCACAGTTAATTCATTTCATAGTATATTTTGTGAAGCGCTTTGAGACATTGAGAATACATGAAAAGCGCTATATCAAATGCAAATTAATATTATTATATCCATGCCATGACCACTCTGCCTTCCGCTTTCTCCACATTACCCAAATCTGCCTAACCCCTCAGGCTGCTGAAACCTTCATACATGCATCCGTCACATCAAGTCTCGACTACGGAAACTCCCTTATCGGCCTCCCCAACTCTTTCCTCATCCAGAACTCTGCAGCTCATGTATTCACGCAACAGGCTCCATCACCCCCACCCTCGCCTGACTCCCCATCCCCCAGAGTATCGAGTTCAAAATACTCATCCTCACTTTCAAAGCCATCCAGAGCCTTGCCCCTGCTGACTCCCTTATCAACCTGTCCGCTCCCTCTGTTCAGCGGGCTCTGGCCTGCTCCATGTCTCCCGACCGACCCGCCCTACCATTGGCAACTGGGCTTTCAGGCTCTCTGCCCCCACACTCTGGAACTCCATCCCACAATTTCTGTGCCTTGCTCCGTTCCTCGCCTCCTTCAAGGCACAACTCAAGACCCTCCTTTTCAACTGCGCCTTCAGCCGCCCTCCTACCTCTCTGCTCTCCTTCATCCCAACCCTGCCGCCCCCCCCCAACCACGCTCGGGTCTGGATCCCCAACTGTTCAGGTTCTTGGGACGTCCGCCCGTGAAGGGCCCTTTACAAATGAATTTTTGTTTGTCGCTGAAGATCTCAGGATAGAGTCCTGTGGCTCAGTGGTTAGAGCACTCGCTTTGCAAGTGAGAGACCTGAGTTCAATCCCAGGCAGAGGGCGAAACCTTGGGCAAGTTTCCTTACTCCATACGCCTAATAATAATCCCTCCAAAACCAAAACAATAATAAATTGGTCATTTTCAATCCACGACTGTTTGTGGGACATTGCTGTGCGCAATTGGCTGCCGCGTTCGCCCACAAATATACAGTCAATTCACTTTACAGTGTGTTCTGTGAAGCGCTTTGGGACATCCTCCCGATGTGAAAAGCGCTATATCAAATGCAAGGATTATTATTATTATTATCTCAACGTGCTACACAATGGCGGGATTGGACACCAACCAAGGGAGGAGGGAGAGGTTTTCAGGCAAGAATTACCGATTAAAATGGTGGTGAAAACGTCATTTTCACCTGTCTCAACCTGAGGGAAATTGCCTCCTTCAAGGCCCATCTCAAGAGCCTCCTCTTCAGCCACACTCCCTGATCCCAACCTCCAGCTCTGGTGCAAATCCTTGACTGTCCAGTGCCTTGGGGTGTTCTGCTGCTGTGAAAGGCGCTGTGTAAAAGCCATTTGTTGTGGTGACGCTGGGAGCTGCTGCAGATGCTTCATGTGTACAGCGAATGATGTGATTATATTGATGACATTGTCCAGTGATTTTGTGATAAATGGCCATCTTTCTGTTGATTCGCCACTTGAATCTTTATTTCCTGAGAAAGTTATTACATTGATTGCAGTCACTGACATAGATATAGGAGACCGAGTCTGGCTGTGATCATTGTTCCTGAGCAGCTCCCCTCATCCCTGAGGTGTGAGTGAGCTAAGGTTTGTGTTAACATGGCTGGTCACAGGGGGAGCCCCAAAAACTAACGGTAAACAACACAGAGCTCCCGGTCCTGGGAGAGACTTGGCTCTCAGGGGTGTGAGTTGGACAGGACGAGGGGGGGAAACTGGAGAGGACTGGGGCGGGGGGGTATGAGCTGGACAGAACTGGGTAGGGGGTGAGCTGGAGAGGACGGGGGGTGGGGGGTGTGAACTGGAGAGGATGGAGGGGGTGGGGATGTGGCCTGGACAGGATGGGGGGGTGAGCTGGAGAGGGAATGGGAAGATGACAGACTCAATGACAAACTGTGCGGTTTGAGGTGATCAAAACTCAGCAGCACATTTGATGCAGTGAAGTAACACAACAGACATTGCTGATGACTCTCACTGTCTCTCACACTCTCTCACTGTGTGTATCTCTCACACTCACTGTGTGTCTCTCACACACTCACTGTGTGTGTCTCTCACTCTCTCACTGTGTGTGTCTCTCACTCTCTCACGGTGTGTGTCTCTCACTCTCTCACTGTGTCAGTTCGCCAGACTACGGCACTACCTCACCCCTCACGCGGCTGAACTCTGGTTCACACCTTTATCACCTCAAGGCTGGACTATGGGAACTCTCTCCTCGTCGGCCTTCCCGGCCCTCCCTCCACACTGCAGGTCATTCAGAACTCTGCAGCTCGTGTACTGTCCCACACCAGACACCGCGCCCACATCACTCCCACCCTCGCCCTCGCCCTCACCCTCGCCCTCACCCTCGCCCTCGCTCGCCTCCACCCTCGCCCTCACCCTCGCCCTCACCTACTATCCCCCACTCACCTGCCCGTACCCTCCGTTCCTCTGGCTCCGGTCGGCCCCCCATCCCCCGCCCCAACCGCCCGACCATCGGTGGCCTTCAGCCTCTCAGCCCCGAGGCTCTGGAACTCTATCCCCAGTGCCTTCGCCGCTTCCTCCCTCTCCTCCTTCAAGGCCGGTCTCAAAACCTTTCTCTTTGACCTTCAGCCTTCAGCTCCCCTCTCGACTCTCTACCCACTCCTCGCTCCCTCCCTTCCCTCCCCTCACCCTGACCATTTCCCCCCTCCTCGCTCCCTCCCTTCCCTCCCCTCACCCTGACCATTTCCCCCCTCCTCGCTCCCTCCCTTCCCTCCCCTCACCCTGACCATTTCCCCCCTCCTCGGGTCATGACCCAACTGTGCAGCGCCTCGGGACGTCCTCCTGACGTGAAAGGCGCTTTATAAATGGAATCTTGTTGTTGTTGTTGTTGTGTGTCCTCACTCTCTCACTGTGTGTCTCTCACTCTCTCACTGTGTGTGTCTCTCACTCTCTCCCTGTATTTCTCTCACTCTCGCCCTGTGTGTCTCCCTCACTCTCGCCCTGTGTGTCTCTCTCACTCTCGCCCTGTGTGTCTCTCTCACTCTCGCCCTGTGTGTCTCTCTCACTCTCGCCCTGTGTGTCTCTCTCACTCTCGCCCTGTGTGTCTCTCACTCTCGCCGATTGTCTCTCTCACTCTCGCCCTGTGTGTCTCTCTCACTCTCGCCCTGTGTGTCTCTCACTCTCTCCCTGTGTGTGTCTCTCACTCTCGCCCTGTGTGTCTCTCTCACTCTCGCCCTGTGTGTCTCTCACTCTCTCCCTGTGTGTGTCTCTCACTCTCGCCCTGTGTGTCTCTCTCACTCTCGCCCTGTGTGTCTCTCACTCTCGCCGATTGTCTCTCTCACTCTCGCCCTGTGTGTCTCTCTCACTCTCGCCCAATGTGTCTCTCACTCTCTCCCTGTCTCTCTCTCTCTCCCTGTGTGTCTCTCACTCTCTCCCTGTGTGTGTCTCTCACTCTCTCCCTGTGTGTCTCTCACTCTCTCCCGATGCCACCATCACTCCCACATTGAAAAAACCCTCACTTGATGCATTGCAGCTATCAAGCTACCGGCCCATCTCCAACCTCCCCTTCCTGTCCAAGGTCCTTGAAAGAGTTGTGGCCTCCGAACTGCGCACTTTCCTCTCCACCCATTCACTTTTTGAATGCCTTCAGTCAGGTTTCGGTGCTGCCCATAGCACAGAACCCGCCCTGGTCAAGGTCACCAATGACATCCTGACCATCTGTGACCAGGGCTCCCTCTGCCTCCTCGTCCTCCTCGGCCTATCGGCCGCATTCGATATGGTCGACCACTCTATCCTCCTCCACCGCTTGTCCTCCCACCTCAACCTTCAAGGCCCTGTCCTTGAGTGGTTTAGGTTGTACCTCTCCCACTGTCTTCATTTTGTCTCTGCAAACAGCTTCTCCTCCACAACCCGCACTGTCTCGTGCGGTGTCCCTCAGGGCTCTGTCCTCGGTCCCCTCCTCTTCACCCTCTATATGCTCCCCCTGTGGTGACACCATCCGCAGACATGGGGTTCACTCCCACATGTATGCGGATGACATCCAACTCTATCTTTCCTCCTCTACTCTCAACTCCACGACCCCCGATGCCCTGACAGCTGTCTGTCCGACATCGAGTCCTGGACGAGAGACAACTTTCTTCAGCTCAACGTGAGCCAAACCGAGGCCCTCCTGATTGGTTCGCGTCAGCGCCTCCGCACCTCAGGCGCTGACACCATCAGCTCCGCACTCTCCACCTCTCAAAGCCATCAGGAACCTCGGGGTTCTGTCCGACCCTGAGCTGTCCTTTCTCCCTCATATCCGCACCACAACTGGCACCGCCTTCCATCACCTCCGGAACATCGCCAGACTACGGCTCTCACTCTCTCCCTGCGTGTCTCACTCTCTCCCTGCGTGTCTCTCACTCTCTCCCTGTGTGTCTCTCACTCTCTCCCCGTGTGTCTCTCACTCTCTCTCACACTCTCACTGTGTGTGTCTCTCACTCGCACACTCTGTGTGTGTGTCTCTTACTGTGTCTCACACACTCTCACTGTGTGTAAGTGTGTGTGTGTGTTTCTCACACTATCACTGTGTGTATGTATGTGTCTCTCACTGTCTCACTCTCTCTCACTGTGTGTCCCTCTCACTCTCTCACTGTGCGTCTCTCTCACACACTCTCACTGTGTGTCTCTCTTACATTCTCACTGTGTGTGTCACACTCTTCACTGTGTGTCTGTCACACTCAAACTATGCGTTTTTGACACTCTCAGTCTCACTCTCACTGTCTCTCTCACACTCTCACTGTATATGTCTCTCACTCACACACTCTCAGTGTGTGTGTCTCTTACTGTGTCACTCACACTCTTTCACCGTGTGTCTCTCTCACACTCTCACTGTGCGTGCGTGTCTCTCACACTATCTCACTGTGTGTGTGTGTGTATGTGTCTCTCAATCTCTCACTGTGTGTGTCTATCCAAACCCCCTCGGGACAAACACTGGGATAAACAAGTTTCTGACAACATTTCCGAGGATCATCTCCTCCTGCCCCAGACACCGACTCCTGGGCATCAACAGAGCCCTATCCTCATCAGCCTCTATGTGAAAGCGACTGTGTTAGACACAGAGAGAGACAGAGTGAGACACAGACAGTCAACGAGGGACTGAGACACCCAGATCATGTCTGGGAGAGACAGGGAGGTTCAGTTACAGAGACACACACACACACACAGTCAGGGAGAGATACACAGAGAGTGAAAGACAGCAGCTTTAGATAAATACAGAGAGGAACTTTTAGAGAGACACACGCAGACTGTCAGAGAGGGGCAGAATTAGACAGAGATACAGAGAGATTCATTGAGAATCACAGAGAGTGTGTGAAGTACAGAGAGAGATACAGACACAGTAAGGAGGAGACTTAGGTAGAGATACAGAGTGAGAGAGACAGTGTGTGGTAGACACGCACACACACACAAGCACAGTGTGAGAGAGAGACACACACACAGGGACAGTGTGAGAGAGGGAGACACACACAGGGACAGTGTGAGAGAGAGACACACACACACACACAGGGACAGTGTGAGAGAGAGAGACACACACACAGGGACAGTGTGAGAGAGAGAGACACACACACAGGGACAGTGTGAGAGAGACACACACACACACACACAGGGACAGTGTGAGAGAGAGAGACACACACACAGGGACAGTGTGAGAGAGACACACACACACACACACACAGGGACAGTGTGAGAGAGAGAGACACACACACAGGGACAGTGTGAGAGAGACACACACACACACACACACACAGGGACAGTGTGTGAGAGAGACACACACACACACACACAGGGACAGTGTGAGAGAGAGAGACACACACACAGGGACAGTGTGAGAGAGACACACACACACACACACAGGGACAGTGTGAGAGAGAGAGACACACACACAGGGACAGTGTGAGAGAGACACACACACACACACACACAGGGACAGTGTGAGAGAGAGAGACACACACACAGGGACAGTGTGAGAGAGACACACACACACGGACAGTGTGAGAGAGAGACACACACACACAGGGACAGTGTGAGAGAGACACACACACACACACACACAGGGACAGTGTGAGAGAGACACACACACAGGGACAGTGTGAGAGAGAGAGACACACACACAGGGACAGTGTGAGAGAGACACACACACACACACACACAGTGACAGTGTGAGAGAGACACACACACACACACACAGGGACAGTGTGAGAGAGACACACACACACACACACACAGGGACAGTGTGAGAGAGAGAGACACACACACAGGGACAGTGTGAGAGAGACACACACACACACACAGGGACAGTGTGAGAGAGAGAGACACACACACAGGGACAGTGTGAGAGAGACACACACACACACACACACACAGGGACAGTGTGTGAGAGAGACACACACACACACAGGGACAGTGTGAGAGAGAGACACACACACACACAGGGACAGTGTGAGAGAGACACACACACACACACAGGGACAGTGTGAGAGAGAGAGACACACACACACAGGGACAGTGTGAGAGACACACACACACACACACACACAGGGACAGTGTGAGAGAGACACACACACACACACACACAGGGACAGTGTGAGAGAGAGACACACAGACTCCCCGGGGGTGGGGGAGATGGCGTGGGAGGCCCGGGGCTCGGCTGCTGATTGCTCGGCCAGTTTGCCCTCAGAGCCGGGGCCGGGGCGGGGGCCGGGGCGGGGGGAGCGGGGGCGGGACGGCGCGGTGCCCGGGGCCCAGGAGGCTCTGTGTCGGGCCTCCTTCAGCCGCCAGCGCCAGGCCTCGGTGCTCGCGCTGCTGTTGGCCGCCGCCCTGTACAGTGTGTGGACGGTGCTGGCGGGGCCGGGCCCGGGGCTGGGGCTGGGGCCCGGGGCCGGGGCGGGAGGCCTGTTGCCGGGGCTCGGGCTGCTCGCTCACCTCCTGCTGCTCGGCCTCGGCAGGTGCGGCCTGTGCCCGGCCCGGGGCGCGGCCTCCCGCGGGCTGTGGGTGCTGGCGGTGCCGCCGCTGCTGTGCGGCCTGTGGCTGGGGGCGGCGGGCGGGCGGGCGGGGGGCTGGCAGGCCTTCTTCACCTTCTCCTTCTTCAGCACTCTGCCGCTCCGCCTCCCGCACATCCTGCTGCTCGCCGGCCTCTCCTGCGGCCTCCACACCGTCCTCCTGGGCCTGAGCCGCGGCCCCGCGCCCGGCCCCGGCCCCGGCCTCGGCCACCAGGTACCCGGGGAGGGGCCAGGTCCCGGGGGGCGGGACCCGGGCACGGCCAATTAGGGGACCATGTCCCTCAGGGGAGGGGCCAGGCCCAGGGGAGGGGCCATGCCCAGTGGGAGGGGGGCCCAGGGCGAGGGGGCATGCCCAGGGGGAGGGCCAGGCCCAGGGGCGGGGCCATGCCCAGTGGGAGGGGCCAGGCCCAGGGGGAGGGGGCATGCCCAGGGGGAGGGGCCAGGCCCAGGGGGAGGGGGCATGCCCAGTGGGAGGGGCCAGGCCCAGGGGGAGGGCCAGGCCCAGGGGCGGGGCCATGCCCAGTGGGAGGGGCCAGGCCCAGGGGGAGGGGGCATGCCCAGGGGGAGGGGCCAGGCCCAGGGGGAGGGGGCATGCCCAGTGGGAGGGGCCAGGCCCAGGGGGAGGGGCCAGGCCCAGGGGGAGGGGCCAGGCCCAGGGGGAGGGACCAGGTCCAGAGGCGGGGCAAGGCCAGGGGGAGGGGGTATGCCCAGGGGGAGAGGCCAGGCACAGTGGGAGGGGCAGGCCCAGGGGGAGGGGCAGGCCCAGGGGTGGGGCCAGGCCCAGGGGGAGGGGCAGGCCCAGGGGCGGGGCCAGGCCCAGGGGGAGGGGCAGGCCCAGGGGCGGGGCCAGGCCCAGGGGGAGGGGCAGGCCCAGGGGCGGGGCCAGGCCCAGGGGGAGGGCCAGGCCCAGGGGAGGGGCCAGGCCCCCAGTGACTGGTGTGTCTCTGGCAGCTCCTGGCTGATGTGATGCTGTACACGTGTGTGATGGCGGTGGGAGTGATGTCCTATTACATGGCCGACAGGAAGCATCGCAAGGCGTTCCTCGAGACTCGCCAGGCCCTCGAGGTCAAACTCAATCTGCAGGAGCAGAGCCAACAGCAAGTGAGTCCCCACTAACCCAGAGAGCCCCGCAGCTCGAGGAGGGAACTGAGTGAGAATTCTGTTAAGGAATTTGGTGAGAGTGGGAATTTGGTGCAGAGGGGGAAAGAGATGCATAATTATAAAATATATAATATTTATATTAAAATAATATAAAACGTGCATGATGGCGGTGGGAGTGATGTCCTATTACATGGCCGACAGGAACCAGCTGAGACTGCTTGCATGCACAATGTGTGCCATGTGGGAACTCCAGTTCGCCTTGTGTGCCCTGGACAGACACGTGTGTAGGAAGTGCCTCCGACTGCTTGAGCTTGAGCTCAGGGTTTTGAGCTCGAGGAGAGGCTGGAGTCACTATATAGCATACGGGAGGCTGAATAGTTCATGGATCGAACGTTTCAGGAGCTGGTCACCCCACAGCCACAGAGGGTTCAGAAGGAAGAGGGGACGGGCAGAAATCCCCTGAGAATGTGGCACTCGCAAACCGATTCTCTGTACTGAATATTGGTCAGAGTGATGACACCTCTGGGGAGTGGAGTCAAAAGCAAGTTCTGAATGAGTTGGGTTTTATGGATGGTGGTGGATGGGAGACTGGCGAGGAGGGCATTGGAGTAGGCCAGCTGAGAGGTGACAAACGCATGGAACAGAGTTTCAGTGGCTTTTGGGGAGAGGTATTTGCGGAGACGGGCGATGCGACGGAGTGGAAAAAGGCAGCGCTGGTGAGGGACCGGATGTGGGGGAGAAAGGATAATTGGGGGTTGAACCTGACGCCTAGGTTGCATATCAAAACAGCAGGATCAAACACATGAATGCATGGCTGGAGCAATGGTGCAGAAAGGAGGGATTCAGGTTTCCTGGATCATTGGGACCAGTTCTGGGGTAGGTGGGACCTGTACAAGTGTACACCTGAACAGGGCTGGGATGAATGTCCTCGCAGGGAAGTTAACTGGTGCAGTGGGGAAGGATTTAGACCATGAGACGTATGAGCAGGAGTAGGCCATTCAGCCCCTCGAGGCTGCCCCGCCATTTAATAAGACCATGGCTGATCTTCTAACCTAATTCCATTTACCCGTCCTATCCCCATATCCCTTAATCCCTCTATCCTTTAGAAATCTATCAACCTCAGTCTTGAATATGTTCAAGGACTGAGCATCTGCAGCCTTCTGGGGTAGAGAATTCCACAAATTCATTACTCTCCGAGTGAAGAAATGTTTCCTCAACTCAGTTCGAAAAGGCTGACCCTTAATCTTGAGACAATGACCTCTAGTTTTAAATTCTCCAACCAGGGGAAACGGTCTCACGGCATCTGCCCTGACAAGACCCTTAAGAATCTTATAGGTTTCTATAAGGTCACCTCTAATTCTTCTATATTCTAGAATATAGGCCTAGTTTACTCAGCCTGTCCTCATAGGTCAACCCCTTCATCCCAGGAACCAACCTAGTGAATCTATGCTGCACTAAGGCAAGTATGTCCTTTCTTAAATAAGGAGACCACAACAAATTTCGAGTGGGGAAGGGAATCATGATGTAGCATTCGAGAGGACAAACAAGTTACATAGAAGGCTGGGAGAGACGAATAGCAATGGCAATAGCAAAGAGTAATCCAGAAAAAGGAGGGATTAGACCAGAGGAGAAATACAGAACAGACAAAGTCAGTCTTGGAATGAATGTGTGGAAATGCACGGAGTGTGACAAATAAGCTTGGTGAGCTGCGGCTCAAGTTGCCACATGGGGTTATGATGTAGTGGCAATAACGGAAACCTGGCTCAAACAAGGGCAGGAATGGGAGCTGAATATTCAGGAGGGATAGTGAAGGAAAAAAGGAGGGGGTTGGGGGGTGGCAATATTGACTAAAGACACGGTTACGGCCCTGGAAAGGGACGATGTGCTAGAGGGTCCAAAACCAGAATCTATTTGGTTAGAGTTAAGGAGCATAAAAGGAGCTGTTGCTCTGTTAGGTGTATACTGCAGCCCACTAAATAGTGGGAAGGAGATAGACGAGCAACTCTGGAAGCAGATTTCAGAAAGATGCAAAACCAATAGAGTATTGATAATGGGGGACTTCAATTATCCTCACATAGACTGGCAAAATAACAGTGTAAACGGCAAGGAGGGGGAAGGAATCCTGAAATGTGTGTAGGATAACTTTCTGGATCAGTATGTTTCCAGCGTAACAAGGAAGGAAGCAGTGCTGTATCTAGTGCTGGGGAATGAAGTGGGGCAAGTGGAGCAGGTTTCAGTGGGAGAACATCTGGACAACAGTGATCACAACATCATTAGGTTTAGAGTATTTATGGAAAGGGACCAGGAACAATCAAAGGTCAAGATACTCAACTGGAAGAGGTTAATTTTAGTGAGTTAAAAAGGGACTTAGCCAAGGTGGACTGGAAAGAAAGATTGGCAGGTAAAACAGCTCACGAGCAATGGGAAGCCTTCAAGGAGGAAATAGTTTGGGAACAGAACAAATACATTCCCACAAAGGGGATCCAAACCTCCCTGGATGAATGAGGAAATTGGGTTTAAAATAAAACAGAAAAAGGAGGCTTATGATAAATGTCAGGTTTAAAATACAGAAGATAATCAAATAGAAGATAGAAAGCACAGAAGAGAAGTGAATAAGGAAATAAGAGGCAAAGAGATTGTAGAGAGAAAAGATTAGCGGGTAACATAAAAGGGAACCCTAAGGTATTTTGTAAGCATATAAAGAATAAAAGGTTAGTCAAAGGTAGAGTGGGTCCAATTAGGGACCAAAGGGGAAATCTTCTTGTGGAGGCAGAGGGTATGGCTGGCGTAGTGAATGAGTACTTTGCATCTGTCTTCACAAAAGAAGAGAATGAAGTCAATGCCACAGTATTGGAGGAGAGGGGAGAGAAATTGGATAAGAATAAACTGAGAGGAGGTACTAAAAAGGTTGATGGTGCTCAAGGTAGATAAGTCACCCGGTCTGGACAGGATGGATCCTAGGTTACTGAGGGAAGTAAGGGTGGAAATAACGGAGGTTCCGGCCACAATCGTTCAATCCTCCTTGGACACCGGGTGGTGCCAGAGGACTGGAGGGCTGCAAATGTTATTCCCCTTTACAAAAAGGGGCAGAAGGATAAACCCGGGAGCTACAGGCCAGTCAGCCTAACGTCAGTAGTGGGGAAACTTCTAGAGACTATAATCCGGGACAAAATAAATGTTCACTTCATATGTGTTAATAAAGGACAGCCAACATGGATTTGTTAAGAGCAAATCATGTAACAAATATGGTAGTTTTATGTTGAAGTAACGGAGAGGGTGGATGAAGTTAGTGCAGTTTATGGTTTATATGGATTTTCAAAAGGGGTTTGATAAAGTGATAAGAGACTTGTAAGCAAAATAGAAGCCCCCGGTATTAAAGGGACAGGGACAGCGGATACAGGACTGTCTGGGAGACAGAAAGCAGAGAGTGGTGGTGAACGGTTGTTGTTCTGACTGGAGGGAAGTGTGCAGTGGTGTCCCCCAGGAGTCGGTATTGGGGCCATTGCTGTTTGTGATCTATATAAATGACCTGGACTTGGGTATAGGGAGTACAATTTCCAAGTTTGCAGATGATACTACGCTAGGAAAAGGAGTAACCAGTGAGGAGGATAGGAGCAGACAGCAAGGGGACATAGACAGACTGGTCAAATGGGCAGACACGTGGCAGATGGAGTTTAATGTGGAGAAATGTGAAGTGATGATTTTGGGAGGAAGAATGAGGAGAGGCAATATAAGCTGATGGTACAATCTTAAAGGGGGTGAAGGGACAGAGAGACCTGAGGGTTCATATAGTAAATCCTTGAAGGAGGCCGGACAGGAAGATAAAGCTGTTAAAAAAGCGTCCGGCAATCGAGGCTTTATAAATAGGGGCATAGAATACACAAGTCAGGAAGTTATGATGAACCTTTATATAAAACACTGGTTAGGCCTCAGCGAGAGACTGTGTGCAGTTCTGGGCCCCACACTTTAGGAAGGATGTCAAGGCATTGGAGAGGGTGTGAAGGAGATTGACCAGAATGGTACCAGGAATGAGGGACTTCAGTGATCAGGAGAGGTAGAGAAGCTCGGATTATTCTCCTTGGAGTAGAGAAGGTTAAGAGGAGACTTAATAGAAGTTTTCAAAATGATGAGGGGATTGGATAGGGTGAACAGGAGAAACTATTCCCACTGGCGGGTGGGTCGGTAACCCGAGGGCACAGATTTAAAATAGTTGTTAAAAGAAACAGAGGGGAGGGGAGGAGAAATGTTTCCACGCTGCGCGTTGTTGGGATCTGGAATGCAGTGCCTGAAAGGCCGGTGGGAACCGATTCGAAAACAACTTTTAAGAGAGAAGTAGATAGTTATTTGGGAAGGACAAGTTCGCAGGACTGTGGGGAGAGAGCGGAGGTGTGGGGTTGATCAGGGTTATGGGGAGAGCGCGGGGGAGTGGGGATGATCAGGGTTATGGGGAGAGCGCGGGGGAGTGGGGATGATCAGGGCTATGGGGAGAGAGTGGGGGAGTGGGGTTGTTCAGGGCTACGGGGAGAGAGTGGGTTGATCAGGGCTGTGGGGAGAGAGCGGAGGAGTGGGGTTGATCAGGGCTATGGGGAGAGAGCGGGGGAGTGGGGTTGATCAGGGCTATGGGGAGACAGTGGGGGAGTTGGGTTGATCAGGGCTATGGGGAGAGCGCGGGGGAGTGGGGATGATCAGGGCTATGGGGAGAGAGCGGGGGAGTGGGGATGATCAGGGCTATGGGGAGAGAGCGGGGGAGTGGGGATGATCAGGGCTATGGGGAGAGAGTGGGGTTGATTGTAAAAGTTTCTACAAATATGTTAAGAGGAATAGGCTGTGAGGGTAAATGTTGGTCCACTTCAGTCAGAGACGGGAGAAGTTGTAATGGGGGATAAGGACACGGCAGAGGCCCTCAATGGGTACTTTGCATCTGTCTTCACCCGAGAAGACACAACAAGTCCACCAACAATAGAGATGCACCAAAGGGATGAGGACAGGGAGCAACTTAGGGAAATGTTCATTGGTGGAGAATTGGTGCTCAGGAAACTGTTAGCACTAAAAGGTGACAAATCCCCCGGTGCGGATGGTCTGCATCCCAGGGTTTTAAAGGAGGAGCTTATGAGGTAGTGGAGGCCTTGTGTCTGATCTTCCAAAATTCCTTGGATTCTGGAACAGTTCCCATGGATTGGAAGATCGCAAATGTCACACCACTATTTAAAAAAGATAAAAAGATGGGGAACTATAGTCAGTTAGTCTCACATCAGTGAGAGGAAAAATTTTAGAATTGTTGATTAAGGATGTGGTAGTGCGGTATTTAGGGCACAATGTCATTAGGCCCAAGTCAACACGGCTTTACAAAAGGGAAGTCATGGTTGACAAATCGCGTAGAGGTTTTTGAGGACATTTCCAGTAAACTGGATAAGGGTGAATCAGTGGATGTGGTCTATTTGGACTTCCAGAAGGCATTCAATAAGGTGCCGCATAAAAGGTTAGTCCAAAAGATAAGGGCCCATGGAATTGGGGGGAGCATATTAACGTGGATTGGGGAATGGTTAATGGGTAGGAAACAAAGAGTAGGGATAAACAGGTCCTTTTCAGATTGGTGGGATGTGACCAGTTTACCATCTACATCAATGATTTAGATGAGGACATCGAAGTTAATATATCTAAATTTGCGGATGACACAAAACTAGGAGGAAGTGTCAACACAGAGGACGACATTAAAGAAATGCAGCGAGACATAGATAGGTGAGGTGATTGGGCAGGTGGGTGGCAGATGAAGTATAATGTAGGGAAGTGCGAAGTCATCCACCTCGGGAGCAAAAACAGTAGAGCGGGTTATTTTTTAGAAGGGGAGAGATTGGAATGTGTTAGTGTCCAGAGGGACTCGGGTGTCCTTGTACACCAATCACAGAAAGTTAGTCTGCAGGTGCAGCAGCAATTAGGAAGGCGAACGGTATGTTAGCATTCATTATGAAAGGATTAGAGTATAAGAGTAGGGAAGTCTCGCTGCAACTGTATAGGGCCCTGTGAGACCACACCTGGAATACTGTGTGCAGTGTTGGTCTCCTTATTTAAGGAAGGATGTACTTGCCGTGGAGGGGGTGCAGCGTAGATTTACTCGGTTAGTACCAGGGATGAAGGGGATGAGTTACGAGGATAGGCTGACCAATTTGGGCCTATATTCTCTAGAATATGGAAGAATTAGAGGGGATCTTATAGAAACCTATAAGATCATCAAAGACCATGATAGAGTAGATAGTGGGAGATTGTTTCCCCGGTTGGAGAAACTAAAACCAGGGGTCACAACCTTAAAATCAGAGGCCAACCCTTTCGCACTGAGTTGAGGAAGAACTTCTTCACTCAAAGGGCAGTGAATGTATGGAACTCACTACCCCAAAGGGCTGTTGACGCTCAGTCCTTGAACATATTCAAGACTGAGATAGATTTCTTATTGCAAATGGGATTAAGGGATATGGGGATAAGGCAGCGTCAGGTTATTAGCTGGAGTTAGATTAGAAGATCAGCCATGATTGAATGGCGGGGAAGGCTCGAAGGGCCGAATGGCCTCCTCCTGCTCCTACATGTTATGTTATATTATGTTGTGTTGATCAGGGCTATGGGGAGAGGGCGGGGGAGTGGGGTTGATCAGGGTTATGGGGAGAGTGGGGGGGAGTGGGGTTGAGCCGCACAGACACGATGGGCCGAATGCTGTATAATTCTATGATTCTGTGATACCCATCCACCCCCTCCCTTCCCATCTCATAGGAACAGGAGAAGCCCATTCAGCCCCTTAATGGAATGTTTCACCATTCTATTAGATCAAGGCTGATCTGGACCTCAACTCCTGTTACCCCCCTTTACCCTGTATCCCTCAGTACCCCGGCCATGACAAACATCTCTAATGGGTCAGCCAGAATCCACAGCCCTTTGGGGGAGAGTGTTCCAGATTTCCATTCACCTGTGAGTGAAACTGCTTCATAATTTCACTTCTAAATGGCCTGGCTCTAATTTTAAGATTCTTCTTCTCTCCCCGCCCCCCTGTCTCATTCTCCCTCACTCTCCCCTCCACCCTCCTCTCTTCTCTCTCTCCCCCCCCCCCCCCCCCCCGTCATTCTCTCTCTCTCCCCCACGTCTCACACTCTCTGACTCCCTCTCCCTGTGTTACAGGAGTGCCTGCTGCTCTCCATTCTCCCGAAGCACATCGCGGACGAGATGCTGAAGGACATGAAGAAAGATGAGGAATCCAAGCAACTGCAGCAGTTCAACACCATGTACATGTACCGACACGAGAATGTCAGGTACCAACACGCATGAGAGGGACAGATGACGTGCGCTGACACATGAACATCAGGCAATAACATGACTAACACATGAACGTCAGGCATAATAACAAGCACTCTCACACTCTGTGTGTGTCTGTCTGTGTCTATCTGTGTGTGTGCCTGTCTATGTGTGTGTCTGTCTGTGTGTGTGTCTATCTGTGTCTGTCTGTGTGTGTGCCTGTCTGTGTCTGTGTGTGTGTGCCTGTCTGTGTGTGTGTGTCTGTGCCTGTGTGTGTGTGTGTGTGTGTCTGTGTCTGTGTGTGTCTCTGTGTGTGTGTGTCTGTGTGTGTGCCTGTCTGTGTGTGTGTGTCTGTGTCTGTGCCTGTCTGTGTGTGTGCCTGTCTGTGTGTGTGTGTGTGTCTGTCTGTGTGTGTGTGCCTGTCTGTGTGTGTGTGCCTGTCTGTGTGTGTGTGTCTGTGTGTGTGCCTGTGTGTGTGCCTGTGTGTGTGTGTGCCTGTGTGTGTGTGTCTGTGTGTGTGTGCCTGTTTGTGTGTGTGTGTGTGCCTGTGTGTGTGTGTGCCTGTTTGTGTGTGTGTGTGTCTGTGTGTGTGTGTGCCTGTGTTTGTGTGTGTGCCTGTCTGTGTGTGTGTGCCTGTCTGTGTGTGTGTCTGTGTGTGTGTCTGTGTGTGTGTGTGTGTGTGTGTGCCTGTGTTTGTGTGTGTGCCTGTCTGTGTGTGTGTGTCTGTGTGTGTGCCTGTGTGTGTGTGTGTCTGTGTCTGTGTGTGTGTCTGTGTGTGTGCCTGTCTGTGTGTCTGTGTGTGTGTCTGTGTGTCTGTGTGTGTGTGTGTGTGTGTGTGTGTGTGTGTGTGCCTGTCTGTGTGTGTGTGCCTGTGTGTCTGGTTCTGTGACCCTGTGCCTGTCCCTGTGTGCACAGGACAGACTGCCTCAGTCATTCTCATTCACTCTCCATCACACACTCACTCTCCCCATCTACCCGCCTCGCTCTCCCTCCCTCTCTCCATCCCTCTCCCCCGCCTCCTCTTTCTCTCCCCCATCGCTCTCTCTCCCGCCCTCCCCCCACTCTCCCTCTCCCTCTCTCTCTCCGCAGTATCCTGTTTGCTGACATTGTTGGCTTTACTCAGCTCTCCTCCTCGTGCAGTGCTCAGGAATTGGTCAAACTACTCAATGAGCTCTTCGCTCGCTTTGATAAACTGGCCGCGGTGAGTCTGAACACATAATAATAATAATAATAATAATCCTTGCATTTGATATAGCGCTTTTCACGTCGGGAGGACGTCCCAAAGCGCTTCACAGAACACACTGTAAAGTGAATTGACTGTATATTTGTGGCAAACGCGGCAGCCAATTGCGCACAGCAATGTCCCACAAACAGTCGTAGATTGAAAATGACCAATTTATTATTTTGGGTTTTTGGAGGGATTATTATTAGGCTCTGTGTGGAGTAAGGAAACTTGCCCGAGGTTTCGCCCTCTGCCTGGAATTGAACTCAGGTCTCTCGCTTGCAAAGCGAGTGCTCTAACCACTGAGCTACAGGACTCCATCATGTGACACATGTGCTACATGGTGCACACGCCTGCCTCCCTCTCTCTCTCTCTCTCTCTGTATCTTTCTCTCTCATTTCCTCCTTCCCCCCAAGCGACGACGATGATCAGAGTTTTCTCCTCAGAAACACCATCAGCTGCGGATCAAAATCCTGGGAGACTGTTATTACTGCATCTGTGGTTTGCCAGTGACCCGCAACGACCACACGGCCTGCTCCATCTCCATGGGCCTCGCGATGGTGGACGCCATCTCGTGAGTGCCCCGCTCCGGCCCCCCGCCCCGGCCCCCCGCCCCAGCCCCCCGCTCAGGTCCCCGGCCCCCGCCCCGGCCCCCGCCCAGCCCCCGCCCGCCCCCCGCCCCGGCCGCCCTGGCCCGGCCCCGGCCCCCCCCCCCCCCGCCCGGCCCCCGCCCCAGCCCCCCGCCCCGGCCCCCGCGGCCCCTGGCCCGGCCCCGGCACCCGCCCCGGCCCCCGCCCCAGCTGTGTGTGTGGGGGTGGCTGTGTGGGAGTGGCTGTGTGGGGGAGGGCTGTGTGTGGGGGTGCGGCTGTGTGGGGGGGGTGGCTGTTTGGGGGGGACTGTGTTGGGGGGCGGCTGTGTGGGGGTGCGGCTGTGTGGGGGGGCGGCTTGTGGCTGTGTGTGGGGGGGGCTGTGTTGGGGGGGCGGCTGTGTGGGGGGTGCGGCTGTGTGGGGGGCGGCTGTGTGGGGGGGCAGCTGTGTGGCTGTGTGTGGGGGGCGGCTGTGTTGGGGGGGCGGCTGTGTGGGGGGGGCGGCTGTGTGGGGGGGGCATGTTAGACACATGCTAGTCGTTGCGCTGTGTGTTACAGGTATGTGCGGGAGAAGACGCAGACACAGGTGAACATGCGTGTGGGGATCCACACAGGGACAGTGCTGGGGGGGGTCCTGGGGCAGCGCAACTGGCAATATGACGTGTGGTCAACAGATGTGACACTCGCTAACATACTGGAAGCTGGTGGTGTTCCCGGGTAAAGCCTCATCTCTCTCTCTCATTCTCTCTCTCTCACTCCGTCTCTCTCTCTCTCACTCCGTCTCTCTATTTCTCCCTCTCTCTCTTACTCCGTCTCTCTCTCTCTCTCACTCCGTCTCTCTCTCTCTCACTCACTCCGTCTCTCTCACTCCGTCTCTCTCTCTCTCTCACTCCGTCTCTCTCTCTCTCACTCACTCCGTCTCTCTCTCTCTCACTCACTTCCATCTCTCTCTCTCACTCCGTCT